TGGATGGATGGATGGATGGATGGATGGATGGATGGATGGATGGATGGATGGATGATGGATGGATGGATGGATGGATGGATATTTCGCAGGTCAGAAGATCATCAGATGTCGCTAACATCATGCAGTTCGCCTCCCTACATTCCCCCAAGGATCTACATTAGCCCCGCCCACTAACTAACTGGATAACAAAAAGCATCTTGAAACCCCCCCCACCTCGTGTCTGGCAACCGTTTCTCTATTAGTAGACATGCCCCCCCCCGCTGGGGGCCCTGGCCCCCACTTTAGAAACTACCGCCTTATGAAACAGACCTAACTTTGGATGAAAGCATGAAGATTAGTTTTTCCAGTAACATTCAGCGGCGTTTCCCGTATGAAGTCTGGATGAAGGAAACAAAGTTTGTCCAACATTGAAGAACATCTTAAAATAATGGCCGCCATGATGTCCCAGGATTCCCCCCCTTAAAAACCGATTAATTTCAGTTGGTCTGATCCTGTTAGCATCTTTAACTCATTCATTCTGTGTTCATCTGATGGTGGTGAGACGCAGCACAGGCCTCGCTCTGAACATATTCAGAGCATCAGTTAGAGCAGCGTCTCCATAGAGCGACTGGCTTCTACAGATCCGACCCAACATATAAAGGAGGGATGGAATTACCTACACTCCTCTATTACATACCGTACCCTCTAACCACCATGGCCTAGCCTGATAGTGTAATAAGTCATGTTTTGAATAGCAGAGTAATGTAGATTTGGCTGAATTAACTGAGACGAGCTGTAAACACGCAGGAGGAAATGAGCATGCGCTGCACAATAAATCTCTCCTCATGCATAACTACTTGTTTCAAGGAGCTGTTGCTGTTCTCTGCTGTCTACACACCTCAGAATAATCAGCCTTTATGAATAAAACATTGCTCAGTCCATGAAAGCAGATCCATTCTTTCTGCTGCGTGTTGAATGGGTCTATGCACAGTCTGCATTTCTGGGACAGACTCATCGGTTGCTGGGAATGGGAAGCAATAAGCCAGATCACTCACAGAGCACCGCATTTTACTCAGACAAGCAGAGAATGGGACTTTATTTTACATTTTTCATTTACAGAGATTTCTTTTCCCAGAATGGTGGCCTACAGCAGGCCAGGGTTGTAGTTATAAAAACTAAGGTTTAATTGTTGGAGATCTGAGATGGTTTGATGCTGGACTTACAGAAACTTTCTTTGCAGGGCAGCTGAGAGGCCTGATAAAGCCGTGGAATGAAGCGGATAGAGAGGAACCATTTATAGAGCAGAGGCACATTTCCAGATCTGTCATCTGCTTTGCTCCACAGACTGGTGACTAAAACACTGAAACATTTATACTCAGGGCTTTATTTTTGGGGACAAAGATACCTTATGGTCTTAAGGTGAATGTTTTGGTCCGCTGGATGCACTGGCTGCCATTTTGCTTCTATGCTACACTGGAAAGCCCTGAGCGGCAGCTGTTCACAAGCGTTTATATTCGTGCATGTGCGCGTGCACAACAAAGCAGGGAACCACACAGAGACACGCTGTGTGACTTCTGACCATAGTTCATTTGAAAAGACATACCTTTAGTTCTATGCAAAGCTATTTTATAAAATCCTTTCATCAAAAATAAAAACTTGAACCCCAGTCGACCTCAGCAGATGGCCGCTCACAGGGAGCAGGTCTGCTGGAGGTTTCTTCCGGTTCTAAGGGAGTTTTTCCTCTCCACTCTCCAATGCGTAACAAACACAACAATAGGCCCTTAAACATCATTACCTGGGTGAGCCCCATAGAAAGTACAACACCCCATCTCTGCAGTTCTTTGAAGAAACTGGTTTAATTTAGGAGTTTTTTCCGTTCTTCCAGCAGCTCTTCTTTGCTTTTTCTTTTCTGGAATCCGCTTAAGTACCTCATTTTGGTATCCATTGTCACTAACATATTGTACCTAATGGTTATGGTTTTAATTTACACGCTGGATTACCCATAATTCCAAGTCGTATTCTAAAAAATGAAATGCTCAAATATATTTGTTCTAATAAGATCTTTATTGCAGTTTGAAACATATTATATGAGTGTATTTTTTTACCAACCATCTAATAATCTATACACAGTTATTAACATAGTAATTAAAGGTCCCACAGTCTGCTTTGCTACTGGTGTCGTGTGTAACGGCTCACCATCATGGTGAAATCTGCCATGTGTTGCGGTATAAATACGGTGTGCAAATACGGTCACTCTAGGATCAGGTGGGTTTAACCACCATTACATTTGCAAAGAAACATCCTAGTCCACAACTGCTGAGGGGGCC